CTTTGTCTGAAATTCAAACAGATAATGAAATATGAATTCATTGCTTTAAATCCTCAAAACAAATTAACAATAAGATGCAATTGACAAAAACAGCAAAGGACTGAGAAGAGCAAAGAATTGCAAGAGCACAAAGACAGCTTTATATGCCATTTACTTAAGGCCATTCCAAGTTTTTTCTATGTTTAGCGTCCGCGTGCGCCTTGGGTTTTGACACCAAATATAAGAAAAAACACACAACATCAGGAGTCCTGAAATTGATTAATTTAGTCGAATTTTTTTTAATTTTGTCAATTTCTCCAAATAATTCTGTACAGTAAGTTATATTGGGTCTATTTTAAGCATTTAATCCATTGTTTTTGCTTAAGAATATATATTTCTTCTATCAAAGCAGTTTAGTTAGATCAAATGATTTGAAGGGCGTCATTTTTATGGCTTTTAAGCCTGTGTTTTATGTTTTGGCTTGTGTGTTTTTTTTTTGCGAATAGGTAGGTAGGTTTTTGAAAGACGGGTGGACGCTAAACAGAGAAAAAAAAAAACTTGGAATGGCCTAAATATATGTAGTCCTGTTGATCAAAATCTTTGGTAAAAAGTTCAATTTCTGGAGGAATCTAGAAAGCAAAATTTTTGTCAAGAAATCGAAAGGTTTATTAGAGGAAGGACCAAGAATCAGAAGTCCATTACATTTAATTTCTTCATGACAGCGTCCAAAACCACACGCCCTGGAGCGTAAAAGAGTTTGGGGGATAAACAGAACGTCAATGTTTTGTCACACCAACAATATTCGCCAGATCTTTTACCCTTTGACTTGTTTTATTTACCAAACTTAAAGAAAACATCTTTCAGAAAGAATATTTAAACAAGTCCGGGAAATCATAGAATATGCCTTATTCCAGTATATGAAGGGCCTGGCATACTCAAAAATGTGTCCTAAAACAATCAGAAATTAGATAAAAATGTTTCGGGCATATGATTTCATTAAAAGAGAATATTTATGTAAAATCATTAAGACTAAATCATTGAAAAGCGTTTTTTCTTTCTTTCCGAGCACTGAAGACATAATTTATTAAACGTCTATTGTGTATCATACATATCTAGCATGTCAACATAATTATTTTGTATGTTGACATAAATAAGTTGCATGTTGACATAATTATGTGGCATGTTAACTAATTATGCATAAATTATGATGGGGCAGAAATATGCCAATATAGGTTCATAAGGAGAGTAGCGTATCAGAAACCCTTGGTTAGCGAAGATGGATAATTATGTATACATGCAACATATGTATATTGAGATGCAACTTATTATATTGCATGTTGTCATAAATATTTTGTATGCAAAAATACATCTCGCATAAATACGGAAGCGTAAATGGCTATACACTTGTGTCATAACTATTTAATCATATCAATATAGTATTGTCGATAAGAAAAAATTATATATTATATACTATATTGTTAAAAAAAAAGAATGTTTAAATTGTACATTTATGTATGTTGAAATGCCCTCGGAGCTCTTGATTGGTAAATAAAATATCTTGTATCTTGTATATTATATATACTCGTAGTTGATTTATTTATCTCTGTTTTTTTTCTTGTTAAATATTTTTTCCTCCTTTAAACTATATGTGACTAAGCTTTTACAGATTGGTTGAAATCACAAATTATTTTATATTATTTTAAGCAATAAGAAGTTAGATCTGATTTGCTGATAGTTATTTTTCATCTGATATATTCTATCATGGTTATTTTTTTTATCTTAATCATCTATCATGGTTCACTGTGTATAAATTCAGTAGGGGTGTGTGTGTGTTGGGGGGGGGGGGGGGGGGGGGCTTTGGGGTTCCAAGTCTGTGGAGAATCGCGTTCATGAGTCAGATCCTATATACAATTTATCATTGAGTTAAATGCTGACTGACGATTTTCATAACTGTTTCTACATAGTTGTTACCAATTGTAAGTCCATATTATGTATACACTGGCGACGGATTTTTCCATTATTTCCCGATCATGACAAGGAGCACACGGCAGGTGTGACCGGTCAGCAGGGGATGCTCACTCCTCCATGGCACCTTATCCCACCTCTGATGTTTTAGTAGTCCGTGTTTGCTCTGCTCGTATTTTGTATAGTTCGATGGACTTTGATATTGAATACTGCTCGTTATCTCCATATCCTTTATTTTTCAAATATTTTTGAATTTGTTTCAGCCTATAATCGTTCACGATGGCAAATGCATCATCAGTAGTACATGAGCTTTCACTGAATCCAGACTGATGAGGTGAAGATTCATTAGAATTCCCGCCCCCGCGAAGTTGATTCAAAAACACTTTTTCTGACTTCTTCTCGAAAATAATCATTTATCTATATGGATCTAAAATATATTTATTTTTTTCATATCGACAATGCTATAGCATATATATATATAGATATGATTGAATACCTTGTTTCGATCAATATCTGAAAATTAATATAATATTTCAGTTGATTAAAACTTAAAGTGATAAAAAGAAGTTGCCTTTAATAACACTTAATTAATATGTTGATAAGACGGTTTACAGGGGCGGATCCAGGAAATGAAGTTAGGGGGGCGCAAGATTTAGGCAGGAGGTCTGGGGGCCGCCTTGAGGCCCCCAGTAGGTCCCGGGCAAAGCCCTGTTGGTGGCCCAGGAGGCGAAGCCCCCGGAAGCTCATGGATTCTAGAGGTTTTGTAGGGTAAAAATGAGGTCTACAGAGTAGACATTTTCAACATTTTCTCGACAAAACTATGTTTTATGCTAACCTTGACAATTTTAGGGGGGGCGCCCCCCTTAAATCCGCCACTGGTTTAAAATATAAGACAATATACAAAGTTATAGCAAACCAAGTGCAGAGCCATTTACGCTTCCGTACTCGCGTCATTTCTCCTTTACATCTTCTGAGAAAAAGTCATTCATAAATTCATAGAAGTTCCCGTCTGCCTTCATGTTTCATATCTGTCATTCAAGATCAAAGATCTCTCAGTAACATTACTATATACTTATAACTTCGCGATATAATGCGAAAGTAGCGTTTATTGTTTGTTTTGAACAAATTTATTGAACTATGATAAATCAAAAGGATTGGAAACAAGTTCTTTCAACTTACGAGTTCTTCTCCTTAAATATAACTATATGTGACATGCAATTAAAATACAAAACAATATACGTTATAACGCAAAAATATTATTTTTTAACGTACGAAAATTAGCTCAATGGACCTTCATTCCAACGAAAGCCCATTTAGCTCATTTTCGTAGGTTAAAAAAAATAAACGCGTAACTTTGGCGAATAAACGGGTAACTTTCGACTTATAACGCGAAACTTTCGCGAATAAACGCGTAATTTTCGCGTTATAACGCGATTTTTTAAATTTTTTTTTAAACTACGAAAATGAGATCAATGGACTTTCGTAAGTAACAGCAACGTCAACTCAATTTTCTAGCGTCACGTAAAATAACGTCATTTTGACGTAATACTGAAATAGACACCAAGACCGTGCGCAAACGTCTAATATATACAAGAAAAGCCATGATTTATACATCATAATTTATAGTAATATCGTAAATTCTAGTTCCCCCAATAACTTTTCAATACTGAACAAAGATTTCCGCTTTTCCAAGCTAATGGGGTCATTCAGATGAGACCTCAAAACCAAGTCCCCTTGTCGCAGTTTGTGCTGGCACGATATTTGGAACCCTCGCTGCTCAGTGGCCCTGAGTGTCGATTAAAGGTAAAAATATTTGAAGTCCTTCACCTGTATATGTATATGGTTACGTCTCAATGTGATTGAGTGAAATTTTTCGATTGGTACGTAAAACAGCATACAGCGGTTTTTGAGCAATGAGCTCACTATAAATGACCCCGCCTCCCATACGGTTATAATATGGCCATGTCCATGTTTAGCTCTCGGAGACCCGCGGTAAATGTCAGATCAAAAAAGTAAAATAGGAGATCCACTAAAATTATGGCATTTTATAATATAGAATAGACCTGTGGAAGTATAATTAAATTTTATTGAGTGGTATAGAGGAAATAAGACTTAGAGAATCGATGGATAGATAGATACCCTTCAATATACTCAAAGAATGTCCGTGACTATGTTTGCTCTTGAAAACTCAAAAAATGTGTCCGATCAAAAAGTAAAACAAATATGTAGGAGATACACAATATGGCACTATGTAACAAAGATTCTATGAAAGTCTCATTAAATTCCATTCAGTGGTAGATCTTATCATAGGAGGAGTTGCAGTGATAACAGATGACCCGGTATCCCAAAGCGAAGCAGACGGACGGACGTACAGACAGACAGACGGATATCCCGATTTCTATATACCCTTTTTCATGCAGGTGGGTATAACAAAAAAAAATTAATCCTATCAAATGCGTTATTTAAAAAGTGAGCGATGTGGCACATGGGCCTTTAATTTGTTGTTGTGCTTTTACTGGCTATATTTCTGCAACATTTCCTGTCATTAATAATTTTCTTTTTCTTGCAAAAGTTCTATGTGATAATTGTTATCATTATTAAATGAACCAACAGAATATCACGAAAATATATGAAGCAGGCCTAGTTCTTCATTTCAGTTCAAAGGGGTTCTTCATTTTAGTTCAAAAGGGTCGCATAGTTGAGTTGTAAACATGTATTTTTCTATATTCATTTATGAAGGTTTAAGAAAGTTTGGCAATGACATACAGGTTTTTAGATTTTCCAGATGTTTAAATATCAGATTTTGTTTCAACTGTATTTTTTGAAGAAAGAAGAAAAAAGATCCGCACCTTAAAGACTAGATTGAGCCGTTAGATGGCGCTGCAACAGAGTTCATGAGAACTGTCAAAACATGAATCGCAAGTTAACTATATTTCACAACACTTTCGTGAATTACCCTGTATGGGTCATTTACAATATATGCAATAATTCATAAAAGTTTACTGAGAAATTGTGTTTTTCTTCTCATAAAAGCTAAACACGCACTAAAAGTCCATTTGTTTTGACTCATTTGCCGCCATTTGTAAACTCTACTGTCGTGACGTCACGCTGTATTAGTATCCCTTTCAACATGTGGTACGAAAATAGAACAGTATTTCCCGAAAGAATGCAGGAATTTGTCGTGTTTCAGTGCGGAGAGTAGCAGATGTAAGTCTTACGTTTTTCTTACTCTGAATCTAAACTAATATTTGGGTAGAAACGGTAAAAAATATGTGTCATAGTTTGAGGTTCTTCTTTGTACAGTCAAACCGTTCCCAAAACAACTTGGCTGTTGACTAGATACATGTATATTTTTTATTGTTTTGGGTTTTTTAAAGCTAACTTTATTGTATTTGAACGATTTTGTCGTTTAATGGTTTATTTAAAAACTTGTGTCAACGGACTTTTTGATTTCTGCATTATTGTGTTGTCAAGATAAAAGCACAAATTTCGGGTTTTAGACACACCCTAAACCCCCCATCCCAAGATACTTTGACAACGTTAAAAGATCTTATATATTTTGATACAGATATATTTATATGATGTAGTCAATGTATCTGTGCCATAATACAGTAGTTGTTAATGGTTAAGTAATGTTTGAATGAAAGTCTAGACACATGTTGTTACTGTTCACATTGAACAGGTGGATGTACAAATAAAGATATACGTTTGTATATAAATAAGACTTGTCTGTCATTTTCAATATATTTGATCATACTGTCTATTAAGATTACTAAAATCATTACTGTTCTAATCACATGATTGCATAGCTGCAGAACTGTAGCTCTCTGCTTGAGAATATTCGGACAGCTAGCATTCAATATGTAAAAACCTTCGATTTAAGCCAACGATTTTTTATCGCAACTTTACTACTTTAGGTATTTATTTTGTAAAGTTGAAGCTTTCTCTGGCATTAAGAAAATTCGTATTCTTTAATTATTGATATATTTACGCCTCTTATTTTTGATACTTTATTTACCTTTTAATGGTTCGAAACAGTCCTGTATATAATGTTTCGTAACATTTCATAATTGACAGTTTAAAAGTGTTCCACTTTGACGTCAGTAATCACAAACAGTCATTTGTTAGGGTTGAAAGATAAGTAAATTATCAGGAATTGAAGTTAAATGTATGATTAATTATAAAATACCACTTTTAAAGCTAGGGAAAGTATAAAATACAAGAAAAAATACCCAACATGAGTGACAAAAAATCGTCGGTGTGAATTGAAGGTTTTTACAACAGTTTAAGCTACAGTTTTGCAGTTAATGATTGCATTGAATAAATAATTATAGTACAGTTCCATTCATGATCAGCAGATACAAGTCAATATTACTTACAACAAATGTTTTGAATGGCAGAATATCTGTGTGTATTTTACACATGAAAAAAAAAACAAAAATAACTCAAGGCATTATTTAAGAGATTCAGATTCCTACACTAGCTGGCCTTCTCAGCATTTTTGACAAAAATATGTAGGTCAGAAAATTATGTTGTCTGAATAAATTGACAATCTTTTCACAAATACATTACTTTCATGTCATCATGATTGTATTTCCTGAATTATCATACAATCTTTTAATTAGAGAGAATGATAATCTGCATCATAACTTGTGTGTGCGTGTGTCTTTTCTTTTTTTAACTGTTTACTGATGGAGTGTTTACACAAGGCCGATTAACGGCAGCAATCACAACTTCTCGAGACTGTGACAAGCAGCATCTTTGCTAGCCAAGGGTTTCTCATAATAAAAATGATATTATTTTATTCAAAATAACGGCCTGTCAATGACGTCGCCTGAAGAAAAAAATATATATTCTTTTAATTTTCCATCTAATTAAAAAATCTGAATACACCGTCGGAAAATGCGTACTCAAAAATGGTTTACACACAGTGTAAACTAATAAAATGAATTTCAGTTCATATAAATTAATTAGAAAGATAAAAACTGGGAATGAAAAACTTATCTATCTGATATTAGAAGAATCTTCAGTGATCTAAATATAGTGCAATTTAAAAAGTGAAAATACATTAATATTTTGAATGAAAATAAGTTTATTTTGATAAGTTAAATGACAACATTTTAATTATATGTGGTATTTTTTAACATTGTTACAATTTTTTTTATATAAAGACGGAACGTTTTCGTTATCGTTCGCGGCGTAGTAATACACAGTGTAATACACAGTGTGAGACAGAAAAATCTCACACTGCTGTCTCACACCGGACAAGTCAATCTAACTACTGATGCTTATGCGAGAAAAGCAGCATCTTTGCTAGCCAAGGGTTTCTGATACGCTACATGTACTATGCTACCACCATTAGGAGAGTAGCTTATCGAAAACCCATGAGGAGAGTAGCATATTGGAAACCCTTGGCTAGCGAAGATGGACAAGCAGAAAAACAACATGTTTTCTGAGCTCATCTGAAAGGTTCCAGAGGAAGTGATTGAATTTCTGATCACGTTTGTAAACCTAGGCTCTTTGGTCTTGCAAGCACAGGTGTGTGCATTTTTGCTAGCGAGGCAAAACTGGTGACAAAATTTGCTACAAATGGAAAAACTGGATTCATAACAAGTGTAGTTTTTAGTTCATCTGAGCTAAAAGCTGAAGTGAAGTTTAATCATTTGACCTGTTGTCTGTTGTCCATCCATCTGTTCATCTGTCTGTCTGACAGTGTTTGTAAACTTTGTACATTTTCAACTTCTTCTCAAGGACCAATGGGCCAATTTGAACCAAAGTCAATACAAAGCGTGCTTGGGTGAAGGAGAGTTTAATTTTTTTTTTTAAATGAGCCTCCCCCCCTTACAAGGGATATGATCGAGATACTAAAGAAAAGACATAAATATGATAGGATTATTTAAAAATCTTTTTCTCTCAAGAACCACTGAGCCAGAAAAACTGAAACTTATTTCAAATTGGAAGTATCCTTGTGTAGTGTAGAATAGTAGATTTTAATTTATTCAAATTATGACCCCTGGGGGAAGGGTTGGACCACAACAGGTGTTACAGGAGGGAATCTTTTGAGTACAATAGGGCCAAAGTTACTCATATGAGCATTGGGGCCCATGGGTCTCTTGTTTTCTAAGAGATCGACAGCTGAGCTCAATGAAAATTCAAGTAATTAGAATTAAAAGTTGAATATATTGGATATGGGGTAACCCATATCTATTCTTGTTAAGAGGATGACAATGGAGACTATAGTTTATATGTTTTGTGAAAATAGGTTTTAATAAAACAAAATAATGATTAAAATTTTCAAACTAATTTGCTTAATATTTAAAGAAGGAAAAACAACTCTCAGCCTCAGGTCTTCATGGTCTTATTAACATTTTTTGCTTTTTTCAACCACATCACTTTCTCATGAGGTCCTTGTACTCTCCAAGATAGGTCAATTTGACAACCTAGCAATTGAATAAATATAGGATCCCCCATGATTAGTGGTTGGATATGATTTTTATCCAACAAGTTTTTGTAATTTTATCCCTTTCAGGGTTGGGAATGGGTATGAACTTGCTGGAAAAAAATCATACCCAACTACAACTTGCGTTACTTTTTGAAAAAAAAAAATTTATCATGATTTATACATCACTTTGAATGCTTTACAATGTTTTAAATCAAAAATATGAATCAAACCACTATATTTTACTTCTCACTTTCACACGAAACCCATCAGGCTTGTTGTGACATCACAGAAGTGGAATATCATGAAAAAAATCGAATGTAATATGCTCAGTCAGACAGTGATTTGGAAGGGGGAAGGCACTTGTACATTGGAGTGAAAAATGACACATTAAATCAGCGACTGGTGGTGCCAAAGTTATTTCAAGTTATAATTATTTTTGACCCCCTAATATAATCTGAAGTTGAATGCCTAATCTCTAAATTTCCAGATTTTCACAGTTTTTGAGTTATTCATATTTTATAACATTCAAGCAATCAGATGCTGTTTACACATTTGAATTAAACAGTTACATCCCTATATAAATATATCTGCATAGACATTGAGATTAAGAAACACATGGTTATGTCCATGATTTTTTAAATCATAATATAATATCTTGTCTGAGTATATACAATGATAATAAGCTACTCATTTTTTTATTGTCTGTAAATACCTTAAAATTTTATGCATAATAGTCAAATCTCATGGAAAATGAAAAACCTACAAAAAAGAACCATCAGTTTTGGATAGGCAAGTTGGTTACTATGTCAGTACAATTAATCCACTACTACGGCACTGAATTACTCAAACATCACCCTTAATTACTTGTTTTAGTAGGGAAAAAATTATAACTTTATAAGTATTATAATAGAGAGTTGACTGAATGTATAAATACAATGTACAATTATGTTCTTATTTGACAACATTCTCTGCACAGGTTTCTTAATTCTACTGTATTACAGAAGTTCTTGCAATATGGAGTATGTGAAATGTGACTATGAACTTTTTGTAGAATCTTGGAAGTAAAATGGACTAGTCAAAGAAAAATTTGGTATATCCAATGATGAAATCCAATACAATGTTTCGAGACCAAGTGAATTCCTTGAACAGTTGGTTTGAGAAGTGGAATGGATGTGAGAAAACTGTGGTTGTATATGGACTTCTAAAACACTTGAGTGCCACACAGATCAAATTCCTGGCTCAGGTGTTACAACAGAAGGACTGTTCAGAAGTGGAGGGACTGGAGGCAGAGGCCAATAACCCAGGTAAGAATAGTCTACTGTGAATTTATTAGCTATATTTAATAATGGATAAAAATTTTACTCCCTATTCAGGTTGTACTGTGACATTTTGCTTTTCCTGATGACACCCAGTTGTTAAACATGTCTTGCTTTCACATCAGATAGTACATACATGTATTCATTCTTTTGGATATTTTCATTAAGGATTTTTCAAACTAAACTTTAAAGAAATTTTTAAACTCTTTGATTATTCTCCTGCAGGATGATTTGTCATGATACTGTCATTATTCTTTTTTGCAACTGCAAAGCAACCAAGATTGTTGTCCATGTTGTAAAGAAATTAACATGTACCAAGTTATTACCTGGTAGTAACATTTGTTTTGTACTTTTCCAGCATATATTCATCAACTGCGAACCGAGCCACAGGAAATTGCTGTACAAAAACTATTAGCCCACTTTCCACTGTTGAAAGTTGGCAGTGTCAAAGCCAAAACAGAGTATTTAGCTCTAATTCCTCAAATTCTGACTTACTCCAATGAAAATGGTGCTTACGTGGAGGAGAGTCGACAGTTACTGTCGTACTCCGTCATTCACCCCGCTCTTACCAGTGAGGAACACGCCCATTTCAACTGGTGGATCTCTCACCTTAATGAACGTTTTACTTCCACTTTCATTTCTAATCCCCATCAACCGTCTCATATTTCAAACCCCAAAGGGGATCATACGGACTTCACGCAGTGCTTGCCCAGGCAAGGGGTGACTGGTCGCGCCAATGGTTCTTTCTCTTACTACAGAGACTCTGCTATGGAGGAAACCTTGACACAGAACAAATTGATGTTGTCAGAAGAGAACCTGTCTAACCCGTTCCATAACCAGAATACCATGAGCTCAACCCCCAACCACCATCTTCCACTAACGGCCACCCTGTCTGCCCCGGCCACAGTCAATGTGATTAATTCATCATCTCAACATACCCATACTCAAAGCAATCAAGGTATTATTTTTGAGATGTAAACACAAATGCAAGTGTCAGACTGTTCTATTATTGCCAAGATCCATTTCAGTTGAGTTCCCTAAATTAAATTAATTTTAAATGTTTTCTTTCATTGATTTTAATGATTGAACATTGTTTCAATGAAACATATTTATAAGATGAAGAAAAGCTGTTTTCAATAAAAAGGTAAAAAATTCCCCTTTTTCAGCAAAATTCTCTGATTAAACGGAGAATATTTAAAACATCGTTCTGAAATTTTCCGTTTTTGTCTAATTGAAGTTTTACAGCTAATTTACCATCCTAGTCATTCAAACGCTTTTAAAAGAAGGAATATATTATTCAAGCTTTTATTTGATATTGATCGGTAGACATGTGCCAAGTCCATGATGTCGAAAGATATGCGATTGCATTAAAAAGAAAAGTAGATAGTAAGATGGAGCTTAATATATCACTATGAATCGGAAGAATGGAGTAACAACAAGAACAATGTTAGTAGTGAAACATGAAAAACAATTGATTTGTGAAAAAATTAAATAAAGTCCTGGTTAAATTTTTTTTGTGTGTGTCATTTAGTATTTTGCCTATATTTTTGTGGCCTTTGTATCTACAAATGACTTTCAGAAGCAATGCAGGATTTTGCTCCATTTATTTAAAAATTTTCTGTAAATTAGCTAGTATAGCTTGTTTCTGACAAAAAAAAATTGGAAGGCATATTGACTGCATTTCCATATCTGTTAATTACCTTGTATTTGTTTCTATCTAATACCCTCATGTTCTTTTTTCACAGAGAATGTTAAACCAGTGAATCAACACAATAAACTGTGTCGTAAACCTTCATTACACCCCCACGGTCTGTCCATGACTTCCAGTATAAATCACGTCAATGACTGGTTACAGAACAGTGAAAGTGAAGTGCCTTACAATCGAGGGCGGTCAAATTCGCTGACCTTTGAGCAGATGCAGGGAGGGCACCCTCCCCTCTCCCCCCAGAGCAGTATTACCTCGTCTGGGAGTAGTGATACTCACCAGGACATGGAACCTGTGAAAAACAGTTTCATAGAGGAGGGTAGTGGAATGAGAGGTACAGTATTGTCAGGTTCTGTAATATAAAGGAGAGTTGATATTTGTTTTGCATAAATTCAATCAACCATCATGAGGTTATGAAGGAAAAAAGTAAGGAAAATATACACCTTTATGCATTCTGCGATGTTTACAAATAACAATCTTCTAAAGTTTATTTTCATTATTATTTAACTCAATTTGATGTTATGATTTACAGATGTACCTACCTGGTTGAAGAGTTTAAGGCTTCATAAATATGCCTACCTGTTTCAACAGATGACATTCGAAGAGATGTTGTCAGTCTCGGAAGAATGGCTTGAAACACAAGTGAGTTTAGTTACAGTGCATGGAGTACATTTAGGTTATGGTCTAGCTTGAAAGGTTATTTTGTATATATGCATTAACATGTAGAGAATGTAACAAACTTAAGATGAAATACAAATATCAAAGCTTTTATTTTTCAGAATGTCACAAAGGGTGCTCGTCACAAAATTGTCCTGAGTCTTCGCAAATTAAGGGAAAGACAGGAACTATTAAAATCCATGGAAAAGGTAACAAATAATAATATTAAAAAAATACTCTTGTACAAATCAAATATATGTACTGAAAAGCATGGAAAAATTGTGTTTTGAATCATAAAGCCATTCAATTTATTTTTGGTTTTTTTAATTGTAGAGAAAATGACTATTTGAGTTCTTAATAATTTTAGGATATTGTTGATGGTGGATCAGTCTCTACCATTAAATCTGTGCTATCTGAAATGAAGGGTATGCTAAATACACCAATGAAGGCCTTCCCCTCAGGGGATTCCCAAGTCCCCTCATCCCCTCCCCCCTCCCCTGTGTCTGACAGTGACACCATCCCAGAGGGTGATGTGCCAGGGCAGTTCACCCGTGTCATGTGGAAAGGTATGAGTGATCAGGAATTTATTTTTTGGTGCTAAACAGTTTTGTTAAATGGTTTAAAAAATAATTTCATTAACAACTTATGAGCAATCATTTTACAGCATTAGTCTAACTAAATTTTGTATTGTAAATGATGTCATGCACTCTTATAAAGAATAGAATTGTCAAGTGCTATGTTAAAAATAAAAACTTCGTTTATTTTAAAAACATATTAAATACAATTTTTAATGAAGATATTATTAAAGATAGATGAATTAAAAGACTTTAATTTATAGCTGATGTGAATTAAATATAAATGTTGACATTTCAGCGTGTACACAGTTACTAGTAACAACACCATATGACGATGAGTGCTTTAACCTCTTTATACAAGTCATAGACAAGTGCTTAAACCATGAGGTAAAGATTATTAGATAGTCCAAAAAGTAATTTTTTGTGGTATTTCTAATTTGAAGAGATTTTTTTTAATGCCTTTGTTAATGCAGTCAGAATCGCATGTAATCTTATGTTAGCAACTACTTTTTATCAATGTCCATCTTACATACATTTGAAATAACCAGCAGTCTTGAATACTGTCCTAGCTACGGTCCATGTTACTGACACTGTTTATTGTGTCCGTTTTTAGCTCTAAGAGAAAAGAGCTTATGCGATATAATGTAAACAATTTTTCAAAATGCTACTCCTCCTACAGTTTTGATCTGATTTCAATATAACTTGGCATATAAGTAGATTACACTAAGATACATAATTCTGTGTATCGGTTTTTGATTTCGAGGAACGGTTTTGGCGTTGTTACTAAAAATAGAAATTTCTGTGAAATTCTTTCAAAATGCTACTCCTCCTACAGTTTTGGTCTGACTTCAATATAACTTGGCACACAAGTAGACTACAATAAGATACATAATTCTGTGTATCGGTTTTTGATTTCAATGAACGATGTTGGCGTTGTTACTAAAAATAGAAATTTCTGTGAAATTCTTTCAAAATGCTGCTACTCCTACAGTTTTGGTATGATTTCAATATAACTTGGCAAACAAATAGACTACACTAAGTTACATAATTCTGTGTATCGGTTTTTGATTTCGACGAACGATGTTGGCGTTGTTACTAAAAATAAAAATTTCTGTGAAATTCTTTCCAAATGCTACACCTCCTACAGTTTTGGTCTAACTTCAATATAACTTGGCACACAAGTAGACTACACTAAGATACATAATTCTGTATATCGGTTTTTGATTTCAACGAACGGTGTTGGCATTGTTACTAAAAATAGAAATTTCTGTGAAATTCTTTCAAAATGCTACTCCTACAAATTTAGTCTGATTTCAATATAACTTGGCACACAAGTAGACTACACTAAGATACATAATTCTGTATATCGGTTTTTGATTTCGACGAACGGTGTTGGCGTTGTTACCAAAAATAGAAATTTCTGTGAAATTCTTTCAAAATGCTATTCCTCCTACAGTTTTGGTATGATTTCAATATAACTTGGCACTCAAGTAGACTACACTAAGGTACATAATTCTTTATATCTGTTTTTGACTTCAATTAACATTATTACCTTGGTTAATAAAGATAGCAATTTCTGTTACTCTCAAATTTGCTACTTCAATACAGTTTTAGATTATAATATAATGTGGCTTGCAAGTAGACTACACTAAGAACATAAAGAGACTTATTCAAGGATCATTATTCTCTTTTTTGCCTGTGCAAATTTTCAATTCCCAACTGCTTAAGTACTTTCCTCTTCCTTTGCTATAAGTACAAACCAGTAGAGCTTCAGTCTCGACAGAGACTTCTGGTTGATTCTTGTAGCTAGAGTATTGATCCTTCAATATAATCACTTCTTATTTCCTCAATTACTTACCGGGTATCCTTAAATCAAATAATATCTTTACAGAGTTGTATCAATAAGTATTTTAAATACTATTGCTATTTAATACATAGTAGACAGTATGTTGAAATGCAATATACATGAACAGTGTATTTCTTCTAATTCTGATAAAAAAAACCACTATAACATAAGCATTTAAAGATTGAGCTTTCCATTAGCAACTTGGAATCAAAAGGTCCCTACTGTAATTCCATGTTATTTCCAGGCTTTCTCAGCGCGCCAGAAGAAGAGATTGGCGTCATGGAAACATGAGACCCAAAGAAACTGGCAACCAAAGTACACCATTGACAGACGGAAACCAGGGTATAGAAGCTTACACTTCCTAAAAACAGAGTTTTATAAGAATGTTATTAAAGTGATCACATCAATCAGGATTTTATTTAGGGCTATTCCAGAAAAAAATGTATGGGGGGGTTGGAAGGCACTTTTATTTTTACCCCACCACCCATACATTTTTAATTGCTTTCTCCTCCACCGCCCATCAAATTAAAAATGCTTATAATACAACCACCCATCTAAATTTAAAATACTTTTTTTTTTAAAGAATTGTGTTTTAAGTTATGTATAATAAAATTTTACGTACCGGTACTTTTTCAAGCATTTGCACTTTATGCAACTTGAAATGAGTGTTCGTTTTTGGAATGTATCCAAACAATGGACTCATTTAAAAAGAAAAAAAAATAAATATGATGGAAATCTAAATATTATGCATAAAACTTTCATTTTTTCATTACTTTGAAAATAGTTTTAATCTTTTTTGAAAAGAATTTAGAAAGATATTTTTTCTGCAAATTTTAACAGAAACAAAAGTTCTGTAAGATTTTACAATCAGCTAATTTTTTTTAGTTCAAGTCCGAAGTTCTTTAGTAAGGGTTTTTTTAGGGGGGGGGGGACTAAAGTTATGTAGTTATGTAAGGCATTGTCTATTTAGTGGGACGTGAAAAAAAAATTACGAAGTCTCAATCCCACCTAACAACCGTGCAGGCACTTGTTTCTGAAATATATTTCATAAATTCATTTGTATGTTATGGCTGGGTTAAAAATATATTCGAGGTAACACTCAACAGGTTAGGGATTGGTACATGTATTTATTGACATAATACATGCATATTAATTGTTACAAACTCTGTTATACATAAACATTATTTTACACCGTATTTGGTATAAAGTAAAATATTTGACTTGCAAACTCCATAGTCATGCTCTAAAATGTTTTATTATCAGATACGTTTTTTTTCTACTTTCGGTTTTAATCAAACGATCTCTCTGTTTCTAATATCATTTAATTTACCGATGTAATCACGTTTGAATAAATTGCTGAAATTAAACTTGAGCTGGAAGCAACAAAGAATACAAGAACACAAAGAAATTGTGTCCCAATCCTCCACTGTCATTGCACCATGTGCTTTTATAATTATCTGCCCTTGTTTCCGGTTTGTTCGATTCTACTTTCACTTTCAATGTAAACACACTTCTCAACTGTTTAGGACGTTTTTTTTTAAAAATAAATATAAATATTTACTGGCCTATACAAAATGAAAGGAAGGAAGTTCTTTGCAGTTGATTATTTGTTAGGGTAAGTGCAACCACCCATCTAAAAATATATCGGATGAGGACAATCACCCATGCAAATTTAATTGCTCCAGTCCCCATTACCCATACAAAAATATATGAAGTGCCGTCCAACCCTCCCATACATTTTTTTCTGGAATAGCCCGTAGTCAAAAATACTGTACCTAATTCTCTTTCATTTACGCATATTTGTTATAGGTCTGGAATGATACACTATTTTAAATATACATGTAGATACAGGACACAATACTTTATATTATAATTGTAATACATGTATGTTATTTGACTTAACTATATTGAAATGAACTATTTATTAATTTATTATTTAAAATAAATCTGAAAATTTAGATATGACATTTTCGTAATATTTCTGCAAGTTAATCAATATGTTTTTGTTGTCACACAGAATTGATATTTCAATGTGTTTTTAGCTCACCTGAGCTGAAAGCTCAAGTGAGCTTTTCTGATCACCCGGTGTCCGTCGTCCGTCCGTCCGTCCGTCCGTCCGTCTGTAAACTTTTCACATTTTCAACTTCTTCTCAAGAACCACTGGGCCAATTTTAACCAAACTTGGTACAAAGCATCCTTGGGTGAAGGGGAATTTAAATTGTTAAAATGAAGGGCCAAGACCCCTTCCAAGGGGAGATAATCAAGAAAATACGAAAATAGGGTGGGGTCATTAAAAAATCTTCTTCTCAAGAACCACTGGGCCAGGAAAGCTGAAATTTATGTGGAAGCATCCTGGGGTAGTGTAGATATTAAATTGTTAAAATCATGACCCCCGGGGGTAGGGCGGGGTCACAATAGGGAATCCAAGTTTTACATAGAAATATATAGAACAAATCTTTAAAAATCTTCTTCTCAAGAACCACTGGGCCAGAAAAGCTGAAACTTATGTGGAAGCATCCTTGGGTAGTGTAGATATTAAATTGTAAAAATCATGACTCCCGGGGGTAGGGCGGGGCCACAATAGGGAATCCAAGTTTAACCTAGAAATATATAGAATAAATCTTTAAAAATCTTCTTCTCAAGAACCACTAGGCCAGGAAAGCTGAAACTTATGTGGGAGCATCCTTGGGTAGTGTAGATATTAAATTTTTAAAATCATGACCCCCGGGGGTAGGGCGGGGCCACAATAGGGAATCCAAATTTTACATAGAAATATATAGAACAAATCTTTAAAAATCTTCTTCTCAAGAACCACTGGGCCAGAAAAGCTGAAACTTATGTGGAAGCATCCTTGGGTAGTGTAGATATTAAATTGTAAAAATCATGACCCCCGGGGGTAGGGCCGGGCCACAATAGGGAATCCAAGTTTAACCTAGAAATATATAGAATAAATCTTTAAAAATCTTCTTCTCAAGAACCACTGGGCCAGGAAAGCTGAAACTTATGTGGGAGCATCCTTGGGTAGTGTAGATATTAAATTGTTAAAATCATGACCCCCAGGGGTAGGGTGGGGCCACAATAGGGAATCCAAATTTTACATAGAAATATATAGAACAAATCTTTTAAAAATCTTCTTTTCAAGAACCACTGGGCCAGGAAAGCTGAAACTTAAGTGGAAGCATCCTTGGGTAGTGTAGATATTAAATTGTTAAAATCATGACCCCCGGGAGTAGGGCGGGGCCACAAAAGGGAATCCAAGTTTTACATAGAAATATATAGGAAAAATCTTGGAAAATCTTCTTCTCAAGAACCACTGGGCCAGGAAAGCTGAAACTTATGTGGAAGCATCCTTGGGTAGTGTAGATATTAAATTGTAAAAATCATGACCCCCGGGGGTAGGGCGGGGCCACAATAGGGAATCCAAGTTTTACATAGAGTTTATTGAACAAATCTTTTAAAATCTTCTTTTCAAGAACCACTAGGCCAGGAAAGCTGAAACTTATGTGGAAGCATCCTTGAGTAGTGTAGATTTTTAAATTGTTAAAATCATGACCCTCGGGCGTAGGGCGGGGCCACAATGGGGAATCAATGGGGAATCCAAGTTTTACATAGAAATATATATAGAACAAATCTTTTAAAAAGATCTGCATCACCCAAGTTACTCAGGTGAGCGATGTGGCCCATGGGCCTCTTGTTGTTCTTTTCCGAATTAGGCTTCTTTTAAATTGAGTCTTTTAAGTTTGTTTAATGTGTTGCAGTTAAAGTGAACAAAAAATTCCGAAATTCAAATTCTGTTTTAATCCATTTAGAAAATAAATGAAAAATGCTTCACTAAATTTACACATGTACTTTCAGATTTGGAGGAAAACCATTTTGGAATAATACCATTGGGATGCAAAGACCATTAAGGTTACAGAGATCAGGCCCTCAGTGGAGTTTTGGAACCAAGAGGTCTATTGTGGGGGGCACAAGTAGTGGGCATGCCCCCTTGACAAGAAACAGTTCCCTCAACCCAGCTATCTTCTCACGTCCAGGGCCTCTAGAGGTATTTGAATAGAAAATCCAATTATAAACAAATTTCAGTTCATGTTTCGCTTATTTAAGAAATGAGAGAGGGTGCATAAACCACTCATGAGTCCAGGTTTCTCAAAATGTTTTAGTCTATGAATTTTAAATTATAAAAACTTAGAATTTGTTTGCAGACTTTTTGAAAGAATAACAAACCACTCATGAGTCCAGGTTTCTCAAAATGTTTTAGTCTATGAATATTAAATTATAAAAACTTAGAATTTGTTTGCAGACTTTTGAAAGAATAACAAACTTTAAATTGCTTGGTTTTGTTTTAGACTCAGAAGCCCCCGGTGACCAGGACTCACTCTGCCCCCTTGAGATCTCAACATCATTTTGGTCTCAATTTTACAGGTGGGTAGGACATGTTAATTAAGGACATACAGTTCTATAAAGTATTAACTGTAATATAGCTCTTCATTCAGCATTCTCTTTGTGTGTAATTTTTTTTCAGTATATGTTTTTTGGGGTTTTTTTTAACTTGAATTAAATCATTATATCATTTAATCTTTCATATCCATTAACCAGTAATGATTTCATAATTTTATTTACATAAAATAGATTTTTGTTGGATAAAGATTTGAAAGTAGACACATCTGCTACCTGTTATGTAACTTATCGTTATACACTTGTTACAGGTTGTGACCAGCTAGCAGGGGATAACCTGGAGAACTATGCTCAGTTAGATTCCCTGTGTCTCAGTGTCACTGAGCACGCCTTAGGAAGTAGTCTAGGTGAGTGGAAGAACTGCAGGCAAAATTTATTGAATGTAATTTATGATATTGAAAATGAAAATTGATTCAGTGAAGAAAGAAATGAAAAACAAGAAAAAAACTGACTTGCACTTCACCACTGTCTCAGAAATTTAGAGAATTTCAAGGCAGCAAGTTTTCAAATAAACAATGCCGAGAGCAATTTTTGATACCTTAATTGAAAAGAAAAACATTGAGTATTTGATGGCAACTGTGTATTACAAAAAATCCAAGATTTTATATTTGGAAGTTTTCTTTTGACAGAGACAAATGAGAAAGGGACAACATACTAGGAAAAGATGCTGAGTTTGTTACATGCTGCTGCACAGATTTGTTTAAACTGTCTCATGTGATGAGGCTGTGAAATATTCATCTCGAATAAATATACATGTGTTGATTTCTCTGGATGTAAATTTCATTAACAATTTATAGTGCTTTTTTTCTGCACTGTAAGTCGGTATTTATTGGTGTTCTCTACCAGAAGTATTATTTATTGACAGGTCCTATATATGAGTGTGTTCCACAATGTTGCCATGCCTTACCCTATGTACACGTCTGTTGCCACGATGTACATGTGTCTAAAATTGTACAATAACAACATTTTTCCTTACTTAAAATTTGTATTAATAAACTATTTCAAAAGGTTTGAAAAACCATTCAAAGTAAATCTAATTTTTTAACACATTTATAGCATCATCCATGTTTAAAGGATGGACACCAAAATTTTTTGTGCATGTTTTTTTCATTTGATAGAAATGCATGTTGAAAAGGGGTGTTAAATATTGTGTTTATAGCAGCATTGATCTGTGCAAAATGCGCTATTGTCTACCAAGTGTTCTGATGATGCAAATTGTTTTTAAATTTTGAAATCCAAAAAAGAAATTGATAGTAGTTTATCACTAGTTAATATTAATTTGTTCAAATATAGATTTTTAGAGTCATTAAATGTTAACGTTTATATGGTATTAATTGGACTTAAAAATATTGATGTTAAAGTGAATTTGTTTAAGTGTGTTATTGTATCTAAACAAAGTCTACTGTATTAATACAGGTATATTTTGATAAATCTTCTAGTTTTTTTGGAGGAAAAATACTATTTGAAGAAATTAATATTTATAATATCAGGGTAAAAAAAAAAAAAAGAAAATTATTTCGTTTTACTTATCATCAAATTAAGTATGCACCTTTTTTGGTGGCAGATGGGACCAATATTTCTGTACATTATATGAATACAAATATGAGGACATTGAATGTTAAAATTTTAATTGCGATTAATAATGACAGAAGCATCAGTAGGAAAATTATATTTTTTCTTGGAAAATTAGAAAGTAAACACATGAATGGATACAGAAAAATATTGTTCAAAATATTCATAACCTGTTCACTATACATATAAAAAGATAATTTTTACAGAGTTGCACACCCTCTGTTGTGTGTTCATATGTTACAAGAGTCCATATAAATTGCTGCTGGTACAGTGATTATATACATGTATGTATAAATATATTTAAATGTATTTGCATGCTTTGTTTATGCATGTATAAATTAATGTAGTGGTCACCAATTGCTCTTATCCATTACTACATGTAAGGTATCTTGAGCAAAAGAACAATGTTTATTAATATTATTTACTCTAGGATAGTATGTAAAATTCATAAAATTGAGTAATGTCATTATTCAATAAGGAAATCAAGAGTATTGTTTAATTTATATAGAGAGAGTGTATTGCGATAAATAATGTAGTTTAATACTATTTTTTTTGTAAAGGGGAGGGAAACAAGTGGGCAGAAGTGCTACCTCTTTTTTTTGAATGACAGATTCAGGAGGTAGAGAGGAGGGTTGATTTTTTCCCACAAATAATTTTAAAGATATGCAACTTAAAGAAGGGATTATGAAAATTATCTCGTATAATATTTTTTTATGAATAAGAGTAATTGGTGGTCTTGATTTATGGAATATATTTTATGAAGTATAGCATATGGTAAGATTTTTTACTACACTAGTCAGAGTTTACCATCATACCATAACCATGTACCTGAGTACAGGTAAATCAAACCATCTGAGTAACGACCTGAGGTTGTAAATTATTCACCTTCCTGATACTCAATCCAAACTCAAGTTTTATTGACTGCTAATTAGATTTCAATAAATAAAAATCCTTGTAAGGGCTTTCTTCTAGATCTTAATATTCTGAAATAAATACATGTATTCATATCCATTATTATATTGTTATGTGTACATGCACCTAGAATCTAAACCATTTGTAAGTATTACTTAACTATGGTTTAATGTTCTGCAATAGCTTTGGTAATTCAACATTGCATATACTGATGAAATCAAAACAAGATTGTAAATGTTTTTCATTAATGCTAGTACATGTATTGATTGAAGAAACTGTTGAAAAGATTCTGGTATATTAACTGTTACTATGTAACACCGAGGGAAATTAAACTATGAATGCTTGTTTGTAAGAACCTTTTTTATGAAACCTCAGATATGTGATAATTTAGCCTTAGAATCTCATCTTTCTCAATTTTTTTTCTATGAAAAGAAAAAAAGGTTTTGATTGATTTTTGTACAGTTCATTTCAATCATTTGTACTAAAAATTTTTCACTAAATTCAAATATTGTATTTTGTAATTTTGTATGTGTCAAATGAAAAGAAAAAATATGATTATTCCAGAGGAAAAAACAAAAATATTCAGAAACAACTATTGATTGTGTAATACAAGTTAGATTATGTCACATTGGTCTTGTAGACTAGTGTTTCTCATTTGCTTGTCTATTTGCATATGAAACCTCAGAATTTTTTCAATACAAGGCAATTTTAAGAGGTGATATTGCATTAAACCGGTTATTTATATACTGTTGATTTTTTTTCTCAAATCGAAATTTTAGCATCTAAAGTTTGTGACAAAAAATATATAATGGAGTCATCATGTCTGTTGTGATTTTACTGATACTGCTGGACATGTGAACTTTCAGTTGCTGTCACCTTTATTTCATATACATGTATATGTATAACATCATGAAAAAGTTAATTGATTGCACAATCATTCATGTTTATGTTAGTTACAACCGATTCTGTAGTACCGGTATATTGATTTGTCCATAATGCCAAATTTAACAGCAGTTTCTTAGTACATGAAGTGTTTAGCCTGGCTGTAACACATTATTCTACAAGTAAACTTAAAAAGACTCACATTTTCTACACAGGGTAATGTGGAATTTTAGGAAAACATAATTTTTATTTTAAAAAAAACAATTTGCAGTGCCATTAAATTTTGTAAGTCTTGTACTTTTCTTTTTAACCAGCACGTCAAGTGAACGTTGCATGTTTGTTGGAGTACTGTTATTGAAGTTCACTCTTTGTTATCAACCCACCTTCTTTGTTTTAAGCGTGCCATTAGATGCATACTGGAAATCACTTGATTTAATAGATTTTGAAAACTATTGATTTGTAAATTATGACTTTTTCATTTATAGTTTATTACAGTTGGGAAAATGACTGGAGTAAAATAACAATTGAACAAAAATGAATTTTGGTCAAGAAAGTGTAAAGCAATTTAATTTTTGAATTTACTTTCTACAAGAATAAAGTGTGTAAGTTGTTATGTACAATTTTAATTGTTGAATGTCACTGACATGTAATTTCTGTTATTGAAGTTGTGAGTTCAGATGTTTCTTTTTTTATGTTTTCAGTGTTAGAATGTTTATGGTTAATTGATTAGTAATTGATGGTATGCAATGTTTTGAATTAGTGTTCTTGTTGCTTTATAAACAATTTTGTCACATTTTCAAAGAAAATCAAATAAAGTGGTTGTAATATGCCATCTGGAATTCTTTGTTTGAGATTTTTTTTAAGTATCCAATCAACTTTTTATAGAGGGGTATATTGCTTAATGCTGCTGTGTGTCTGACGGTCCACCACCAGTTTCCGTTCATCTTCTTCACAGAGGTTGCATATATTGAAATGAAAGTTTGTATACAGATTTATCATAAGAGTATCTAGGTAAAGTTCTGTGTTGGGTGTGATCGAATCTTTTTTGACACAGTCATGCCCCTTGGACTTAGAAAAATTCCAATTATTTGCAGTTTCCATTCATTTTCTTAGCAGAGATTGCACATATTAACCATAATAGCAGGAAACACAATCATCTGCTGCCCTGAAGCCTCATCACCAATAAGTTGTTTCGATCAACAAAGGTTAAATTGTCACTTTTTAAATGAAAGTTTCGACTAATGATTCTGCTCATCGTCAGAACACATAGGTTTTCTCTCCTTTTCACTATACATTCAGTGTTGAATGTTGTGTAACAGAGAGAAAACCTGTGGGTTCCAAAGACAATGTTGCATGTTTTTTATGTTATTTGTCGAAATGAAATTGGAAAAAAAGGAATAATTTATTTGGATTTACACTTGGATTTATTAAATATCATTAAGATGTAATACAAGTACATGTACATAATTTATGTAAAGGGTGTTAAGAAAGTTCGTTCCACATTTTTCTTTTATTTTCGACAAGGAATACGATGAGAAGATATTTAAAATTTGTGATATTTCATGTATACGGAGTCCATTCTTGCTAGTGATAAGGTTTTTACTGTCTTTTGTTGAATTAAAACAGGGAGGGCAGGTATTAAAACAGATAATGTCTGTTAAGAAAAGTTAGGGATGAAGCATATTTGTGACATATATTAAGAGAACAGGTCAAAACATCCATTTAAATATTATGCAAAAATTATCAAATCTGTGAAAAATTTCAAAATGACAAACGTTTTCTTTTGAAAAGTGGTCTATTGTTCTTATACCTACGCTCATCAGCTTGTCTGATGCAAGATAAGCTATAAATAAACAAAAGTAAGTTTTCCTTTATTTTCACTCAAAATGACCAGCATTTCTATCATTTGGGTGTTTTAAAGATGTTATATATACATGTACATGTATTTCCATATGGAAGAAAAATCCTGTAATTTCCTGCTAGAAATGAATTGCTATAAATCTAAAGCACACTCTTGTAATTTTATATGACTTGAAAATTCATCTCTTTAGTTCAGCACTACTTTGAAATTTTTGAACATATACCATCATGGAACGAACTTTCTTAACACCCCTTACATTCAAAAAAAAAAAAATATTCTCTTTATAGTGTGTACATGTGTGAATACAAAATAATTATATTCTAATTTATTTAAATAATAAGAAAAAAGAACTTGTCTCTTTGGAATTTTACTTGCAATAACCTTTTACTTTGCTTTATATGTACAAAAATATGTAAAGCTCTTCTTTTCTGAAAAGCAAGAGAGTATAAAAAACTTATTTGTCAGATTCTAAAAGATCTTTGGCACTGATTAATTGTAGAAAAAAGTTCACTGAGAAAGAAAACTTAGGTGTAAATTATTATTTTATCACAGATTCTCCTTCATCCACTTAAAGGCATATTCATTGACCAGTAACATAATGGCACCTCCTGTAAATAAAACAAAGATTATAGCTCTGACAGGGAAAGGGCTAGGATTAGGCTGTGAGGAAACAAGAAAGGCTCTGAATTTTTTTTATATAAACTTAAATGATTAAGACAATTTCTTTCTTTTTTTTTTTATTTTCAAAATGTTGTATTAAAGTCATTAAATAATCTCATTCATACCTGGTCCTAATCTCAGGATTTTTGGTAAAAGACCCTTATATAAAGCTAGATACCTGAAAAAAAGAGAAGAACAAGTGGTTATGAAAAACAATGCCAAATATTTGACAAAGATTTTGTTTTATCCTTGACCTGATATTTTTATCTACATGTATTAGGTTTGTTATACTGTATTGACAGTCCACAAAATATGTTAGGTTATTTATGCAAGTCTATGGAAGACAAGATAAAGCCTTGTTCTGTTGATGGCCTTGTCCAAAGAAATATTGGAGGCAAGCACCTGATGTCTGTTATCCAATAACAGAGCATCATTCTAGTACATGGAAAAAAAAAAACTTCTTACCCTGACCTTCCCGTTTAGCCTTAGAGGCCATATTGTTTTAGGGTTTCTTCACGGACCTCCTCTGCTTTTGATCTAATATGTTTTTTCACATTCACAGCATTTACTTTCAGTAAACGTAAACTGAATTGCTTACTCTAAGACTCAACTCATAAAAGTGATTTCTTACCCCTCTTCTCTATAAACTGTAGCTATAGTTGCAAAACATGTCCTGTACTTAATCTCTCCAGGCACAGGTTGTGGTCCCTGAATCCGGCTTTTAGCCACATCAAATGGAATGTTAATACATGAAGCAAGTGTCCCTGATACAAAACCTATCAACAGTTTTCTTCCTATTTCCAGGCTATGTGTCTAAAACATGGAAAATACAGCAAATTTTGATAAATGGAAAAGAAAACCTTTTTTTTTAATTTGTCAACAAAGAAATAAAGAAATATGTTTCATATTTCTACCTCTGCCTGGGGTATTAAATCTCGAACATTGTGATAAAATCCAAAGTAGAACATATTGAACACGCCATGTCGACCCAGGGTGGCTGGTAGGCCCTTGTTTAACCCTCGACGTCCAAAGCCATCAGTCTTTATTATCTCCCTTGCAGTAGCAAGTGTGCTTCCTGTCTAAATTAAACAAAATGCCCTAAGAACAAACTTTTGCAAATTATATCACTTGAATCATGAATTTTTTTTCTATTCTAAAGAATCTTATTTCTCATAATTTTTTCCAGACAAAACTATGCAACTGAACAAAGAAATATCATGTTACCCAAGTTGTAATGCCCAATTTGATAACATGTACATTCAAATTAACATTTATAATGATTCCATGCCTTACAAATATACAGATTAAATTTTACAATTTTGCATAAAACAAAGCATTAATATATTTCTATGGTGGGGACACATAAATATATAAAATAAAATCTTGTAGTTGATAAATGGTTCGGGTAGTGGTATTTTAAAGAAGAATTAATTGCAATACCCCTGGGTAATTTGCTTTAAAAAAAAATTATATGAGGGGTACAAAAATCTTATATTTAACTTACCTCCTTAAAAGCATGTCTATCAGTTTGTAATTTAACCTTCACAACTTCAAATGGATTTATAATGACTCCCTCAGTAAGTCCAGAACATAACCCTGCCAAAAAAAGAATCTACAAAGGAAAAGAGATAAACATCGAGTGGAATTCAAAATGATGCTTTGAATAATTTACTTATTAAAAAAAATAGTCTTTAAATTTTTGTTTCTTTGTGTACCTATATACAGTATGAACAATGCTTGCAAAGGGAAAATACTCTTGCATAAAAATATATTGTACTTAATATATATGCCATCAAATTCCAACATTGGGTTTATTGTCAAATGAAAATACCTTTGACATACTTGTATTTCTTTAAAAATATTTTTACAAAATGATTACAATATTACTCACAGAGGAATCAGGTAAAGCCTTAACAGAAGAAAACATGTCTTTATATCTCTCAAAAGTAAAGAATTTTACAGCCCTCTTAGGAGTTTCTGCCATCAATGGAGGTAAGATGCCTTTATAAAATGACAATGCCCTGCAGAAATAAAAATATGTAGAAATAAAATAGTCTGCTTTTCACTGTTTACCATCTTTGGTATTTAAGACATAACATTACTGAAAGCAATAACAAACTTTACATGAAGAGAAAGAAGTGTCTTGTTGTGGCCTTCATTTCCACATTTATATAAATTAACAGTAATATTTTATCATGTAACAATATTCATTTCATTCATTTCCATTCCTTTATTGACTTGATACAATCCCCAGTTTTATTGATAAAAGACACCACAGAGTCTGACAACATTATTATATTTCAATCATATCTCACTGGATGATTTTACAAAAAGATATTGATTGTAAATAACAAACCTAACTTTAAGATAAATGATGAATTCAACTTTTTTTTATCATTGACTTTAAAATTCCTTATATTTATGTGGAATAAATCATATCATCTGCACATGGGCTTTCTGATTCCAAGTCGATTTGATATGCATTTAGAACATTTCTACAATTTTTTTCTAAAATGATGGAGGCTACCATAATGCATTTCATGGAAAATGAGAACAATTTTTTCACACTGTCTGAATTATCTACATTCTTTCATTTTCCCAATCATGACAGAGAGCAGGTGTGGACAACAGGGATGCTCACTCCTCCATGGTACCTGATCCCATCCCTATTTTCAGACATCTTTCTTTGATCTTCTCACAATTGATATTGTTTGACCAGACTTTTAAGCGTGATAACTTAATTATCACTATAGTATACTCACATTTTACTGATATACAAAAAGAAAAGGAAGTTGACAAAAATACATGTTTAGCATGTTTACTCTTTATGTTTAAAATACCTACCCTTCATTTCTGTACATTTTTTTGAAGCAGTCTGCAAGTGAGGTGTAGCGGTTAGGATCATCTGGCCCTCTCTGTACCTGGAATCTTGTTTTAACAAGATCAAGTGGGTGCATTAAAGACACCTCTACAAAACCTGTTCCAAGATGAAAAAATCTCAAATCAATTATTGGATTTCTACAAAAAAATTAAATTACGAAAGTCTTGATAAATTAACATGTGTCCCAAATATTACTAGTTAAATCTACTGTCCCTCATTTTTTAAAGTCCGCCTGACCCCCACCCCACCCACCCGGGCCAAACTGGAAATCCTCTGACCCACCCCTACCATGGAAATGCTTCTAACATTTACTTCATTGAAAATTTACTTCAAAGTTTTCATTCAAAATGATATACTGAGAATTCCAAAATGAGTACACCAGGACATGAAAAAAAGATCCTTATATCATATATATATTGTATTGTCCACAATGATGACAGGGATGAACATGTACCTGCACAACCTCCTGCTGCAAACTGCATGAAGTGGAGTTTCATGAGGCTGTGGTTAGAGCCTACAGTTGGTTCTACGACTGAGGCCATATTATTTGTATTGTGACAAACTGACAACACCTTTTTCACCTATTCATGAACATTTCACCGCATTTTCTAACAATCCTGGAACATGTGGAAGGCGGTGTTCGGTTCAAATATTAGAGTTTGAATCGGTGTAAAACTAGGCCAATTTACGATCGGAAAATAAAGACTTTTGAAAGGCGTGAAATCTAAGAAAGGACACTAGGCCAACTCTAAGGGACTAAACAGATGCAGATAACAAGAACTTTTGGCGCTGAGTGAATTTGAATTAGGTAAATTATTTTCTTTAGTAAAATTTAAGTGAAAATATGCCAAAACTAAGTTAATTACAATGAGATTAAACTTGCATATGTAGAAATTTCGAGAGGAAATTCGAACGATGAAATTTTGAACAATATTTTTTTCTTCCTGAAGTTAGGAATAACAATGTCAATTGCCAGTCTTTGCCAGAGATTTTCCAGGATGTCAACAACATGTTTGAAGAGGAATAATTTCCTTTTGAGTAAGCTTTTCAAAAATATACATAGGTTTTTCTATGAAAACATCATGCATTAACTAACAGTAAAGAAGCAATTGTACTCTCCTCATTTACTGTAAAACATTTATCAATGATGAGCATGATGAGAGCATATATCTAGATGTGAGGTAGGTTCAATTGCCATATAGCTCAGTAGTCATGGTAGTAAAGCACTTGTCAAGAAATCAAGAAGCTGATGATAAAATTCTATTCTGGCCAGACCTTCATCGTTAAACTTTCTTTCTTCTTTTAACACCATTTTCTGATAAAAGACTAGCTGCAGAACTGTAGCACAGTTAGCTCTCTGCTTAAGAAAAGAATTAGGACAGATAAAGCAGAGAGCTTCAGATCCATGGGTTGTAAAAAACCTTCAATTTATGTGCCACTTTTTTTGGTCATACACCATGTGCACTGACACTTCGAACAGGTTTAATTTATTGTATTTTCAGCTTTCCCATGCTTTAAGAATGACAATTTCACATGTATTTTACAACTAATCAACTATTCTGGATATTTACCATTCAATGGTCCCAATTTGCCTTTATGATTTTGGAACGTCGGTTTACAAATTAAAATTTCCATTCTTTTTCAAAGAACATATGCTTGCCCAAAAGTAAGTGTAAAATATATGGAAAATTATCAGATACCATTCCTAGAGCAGGGAAAAAGCATATAAAATATAAAATACAAGAAATAATACCCTAAGTGAGTGACCAAAAAACAGCAGCCTAAATTGAAGGTTTTTACAAAGCTTGGATCAGTAGCTTTCTGCTTTATCTGTCTGAATTTTCTCAAGTAGAGAGCTACAGTTCTGCAGTTAATGACAGACCTGCTAGGGAAGAGCCTGTGACGGTGTCTTTAGGGGTGAACAGTGTTGTCCATGAGAACTGAAATAGCAGGGGGCCTTTTAAAAGCAGAAGGAGGATTTGGGGTTTCTTCACTTACACAGGGTTGAAGGAATATAGCAGAATAATTGGGGGCTTATGTCATTAAAGGTGAGGAAATTCCTCAGCCATCACTTCTTAAGGACAACCCTGGGTGAAGATCAACATAAAGAAAAGAGGAATGTCCAGACATATAAGCATGATACTATTCATGTCTCGGACTGGATATTATGAATTATTATGCTTCCTGTCGGTTTGTCTCTATGTAACCCATACCTAACTATTGTCGCATAGTGTTCTAAGGATTTATATAGCATAAGCATACTATGCCGAAATAGTGCACAGCTGCATTTTCTGAAGAAAATCTGACTGTGCCCACGCCAGGGATCGAACTGACGACCCCAAGATTGTCAGTCTGACGTGCTACCGATTACGCCACAGACGCCATTATCTGTGCCTATGTATTTTGATACAGTGGACCCTCAGATATCCGGACGCCAGATATCCGGATGCTTTAGAATCCGGACGACTTTTCCTAGGAACAGAATTTTTTAATGTTATTTGTTCTTGTTTAACTGGTAATTCTGATATCCGGATGCTTCACATATCCGGAAAAAATAACTAAGACTAAAGTGTCCGGATAAATGAGGCTCCACTGTATATATATATTTAGTTTCAAATATTTCATACTAAAAGAAAAATAAACATCTTCTTAAATAGGTTCTTGCAACATTTTTACCTTCTTTTAACTACAGTTCTTTGAAACTATCTATACATTTTGCCTTATTGCATGAAACATGACATACATGTGGCACAATGTGACATCATAATAGGTGAATACTAAGATGTTTGTAAGAGGTGAAATGGAGAAAATATTGTCGTTTTTATGCAACAGTCAGCATAATAATAACAATAGTGTTATGTTTTGCATGCACTATGCCAATACAGTAGTCAGGGTTTGACACATAGTGCACTCGCCTCCGGCTCATGCACCATGTGTCAAACCCTGACTATTATTTAGGCACAGTGCATGCAAAACACAACTCTATTATATGAATATATTTTCCTCATATCAGAAAAATTTGGTTTCAGTAAAAAGTGCTGTAACAACTTTTCTTACATGCTATTTGCACATATTTTCTCCTTTCAGACCCCTCCCCACTGATGAGCCAAGGTGTGGAGCCCAGACCAGGAGGTTCCCTCATTTTACAGAGGTTTGAGACCCTCAATCAAATGCACAGGCGAGGCCCCCTTCCATTGAAGATGAAAAAACAAAACAAATATCTATGTGGCAATGCCTACCGCAGAGGTGTTGTATTAAAACTAGTGATTAAAAGACCAAAGAAGCCTAACTCTGCTCAGAGAAAGTGTGTACGGTTAAAGCTAAGTAATGGAAAGGAGGCTACAGCATATATTCCAGGGGAGGGACATAATTTACAGGAACACAGTATTGTTCTGGTGCGAGGGGGGAGACTTCAGGACGTCCCTGGTGTTAATTTACAGTGCGTACGAGGAAAATATGACTTGGCACATGTCAAAAAGAAATGAGTTTATATTTCTTATACATAATTAACTGAATTTGTGCTTAAAAATTTTTGGATGATATTAAAACTTTTAAATATTTGTATTTCTTTTAAGTGATTTTTATGTTTATTGAAATTTAGAACTGATGGTGGTATTTTAATATGGATAATAACTCGTATTATAGAGAGTTTTTCTTTTTTACAGTTCATTATAAATTTTTATCTTGGATGAATCATAAAAAAACCTTGAGAAATCATTTACATTTTATTTTAACATTTAACCAATGAAAAAATGTCATAGTACCTTTAAATATTGTTTCTTTAGATGTAGATCTATATTTAGGTCTATACTTAAAAAAAACATTTCCAATCAACAATGCTTCACTCAGAAATCCTAAAAAAAAAAAAGGAGAGAAATAGATGTTGGGCCCCTCAGTGAGATGTTGGACTGATCAGTGAGATATCAGTCTGAACTCCTCAGATGGCTCATGCCTCACACAGTGTATCACAGGCACTTGTTTCAGTAATAAAGTTTTTGACCCACAGAATAATAAATACCATGGGTTAAAAAAAATCACCAGGTACAAAATCAAGTGCCTGTGCTGTAATTCTTTATTCACTGGTTTTGCTAATGAAAGCTATTGCATTATATTATTTACTACATGTAATTGTTTGTGAAAAAATCCTTTAAAATCCTTTCAACAGTTTAGGTTTATCATTTAAATAAAAATTGATGAGTTTAAAAAATGCTTATAATAATATGCCAAAAAAAGTTTATCCTGTAACTATTAAACTAAGTAATGGTATGATTGAGTGAAAAGGAATATTGGGTATTTCATATGGCATTAGAGACCTATGGGCAACAGTGCTCACCTGAGTAAAATGGAAGAGGAAAAATAAATGTACAATGAGCAGAAACACAGAAGACTGTGATTGAATGAATATATGCTTGGCAAACACAATTAAGTAACAATAGACCAGGTGGGTCACCCTCACCCCTTGCTGTTCTTCGCAGTATAAAATAAGACCTCATCTCACCCCCTCTTTTATCTTGCATGAAAAATGTGACCTAACCCATATTATTTAGTCTGAAGAGTATAATTAAGACATACATCACCAACTTTAATTTCATACAACTGAGGATGTTCAGTATTCTACGAACTTGATCATGCATGCATGCTGTTCTGGAGAATTAGACTAATTTTGCAAAAGATTTAAATTAATTGAAATTGTCCTGTGTAATATTAAATACAATTAGATCATGTAAAATTTTGGAACCGTCATTTGAAATCCTGCAGATCCATGATATGAAGGATTGAAAACTTTAAGTATTTTACCCAATAATTTTATTAACTGCATGTGGTCTTGCAATACATGTTTGTTGAATAACCTTCGTTTTTCATAAAAATTAAACTAACGACAGAGACATATGGTTTTATATGTCATTACATGTATTAAAATTTTGAATGAATTCCTATTTATTAACTGCATGTGGTCTTGCAATGCATGTTTGTTGAATAACCTTCGTTTTTCATAAAAATTAAACTAACGATAACGTTACATATATTATAATTTTAATGAATTCCTAGTCCAGTCCCAAAGACTCTACAAAAATTATTTTCAGTGTTTCTATATAGATGTATCATGGTCATTGTTCAACCAATTTAAAATTTTTATATTTGCTATTTTGAATTAGAAATCATTATTTTTCTAGCCGTATATAAATTTTTGGAGAGCCTCCTTTATTTAAAAAAAATTATTTGGTAAAGATTTTCCACCAAATATTTCTGCTATATTTTCTTTAAACTTGGTAAAAAAGAGGGTTATTTCCTATATCTAAGTGAATTAAATGTAAATTTAAATACACATTTTCGAAATAAACTTTATATTATAATTTTAATGATATATCCTAGTTAGTCAAAATATAACAAAAATTATTTCAATGTTTCTATATAGATGTATCATGGTCATGTTGATTACAGAGAATTAGGTTTTACAAAAAAACCATGTCAAATCTATACTGAACATTTCCGGATTATGGATGATGATGGAACTAACTTTACACCGCCCACGCACCTCGTGTTGATATATCCGCCATCTTGAAAAAAAAAGTTTGTCAACGTCCATTGAAAACAAGAACGAGTTTGTCCTTTCTAACAGAGTAAGTGGTTTAAAACGAATACTAATTGATTAGATAAGCTATTTTTAATTGAATAGTGGAAAGTGAGAATTGAAAAAGATACGAATGAGGGTGTGATATTGAAAATTTACAATGTTACTTTCATACTGGCAAAGGCGTCCTTTTTGCTTCCGTTTTCATAATTCATTGTATTGATCATGACATGCAGTGAGTGACATGATAATTAAACTGGAATCGAAGTATTCCACATATTCATTTATTCAATAAGGTTTTATACTCTTTGTACATTTAAAATTAAAAGATTTACCACAGATTTGATTAAAGTACATGTATAAACATATTTTTTGTTTCCTAGGTGATTATGTCTTTCCCTCCACGACCCCCAATAGGCATGCCTCCCATGGGATATACCTATGCTCCAGTGGGTATGATGCCCATGGGACTCGGAATGATGCCTCAGCCGGTTTGTATAAATTATAAATACACTATTCACCAAACAGGGTTTTTTAAGGTCTGTAGGGGCCAAAATAGGGCCCCATTCCCAAAGTTGAAAATTAGGCATTTTCCCCCAAATTTCTTCAAAATTCCCAAACAATGAACAAATGTTAAAGCAGTGTAGCCTTATTATTCATTAATCTCCTTGAGCAGCGATTTTTTTCCATCCATTGGGAAAGGGTCCGGTACCGTTCAATTGGGAAAAATAAAATCGAAGAAAAACAAAGGAGAATTTCGTCTTATTTATGCAAATGCAATGTATTTTGTGTTTATTCCAACTTAATTACCTATTATTGCTTGTTTTAAAGAATAAACAACAAGTACTTATTGTTTTTTATATTAACGTCCCTTGTTTTCACATTGTCATGCTTTCAATTTGTCAAAATGTATGACGCTACGCTGTCTTCAATTTGTCAAAATGTATGACACTACGCTGTCTAAACCACTGGTCCCGCCAAATTACGACTTTCTCTACTTTCGATTTAAGCGGAAGTGAAACAGTGAGTCAACTTGTACAATGTTTCATTTAACAAGATATACTATGTCGTCAGAATCTTTTGCTTCACAGTTGAATTGGGAATTTTTAGTCACAGAATTGGGAAAAATTAACATTTTTTGGCATTGGGAACGGTGCTGTTTATCGGTACCAGTTATATTATAAGGAAAAAAACGCTGTTCAGATGTCCACAGATTACAATGTTAGTCCTTTTTTTAAACTTAAAGACAAAAAGAGTCCAATAATAACCTGCTTTATGCTCTGCTTTCATTCTTTTTTTTCCGGGGGGGTATATTATATATTGTTGTTCTCAATTCCAAACAAATGTCACTATTTTTACCCAATTGGAAAGGCCCAGGCCCTTGAATTCCAGACCTTAAAACCCTAGCCAAAAGGCCCCAGCTTTACACAAATTCCCGTATTGACCCAGCATTCAAAGGCATTAAATGTTTGATTTAAAATTTTACAATACAAATCCGAAGCAAAAAAATTTGTATTCAATATTTTAGATTCTTGGTGAGGGCCTTAATTTGAAATGTTTTTGTCAAGTTTGAGTATTTTAAATTTTATATTGTAGGTGATGAGGCCAATAGTGACAACTCAAAGTGCAGTTGCCCAGCCAGCAAAAGCATTTAATAGAAAACTGGTCCCTCAGGAAATTCCAAAGGTAATCATAGAAACAATACACATGCATATTATTCAACATGTTCAAATAATGCTTTTTGGAAAAAAAATTTTGAACATAAAACTATTGTAAGTGAATTTTTTATAAACTTCAAATAGTGGAGTGGACTTCTATGTTTTAGTGGCTTGGCACATATAAAGATGCTCTAGTTTATCATTTCAATTAATGAATGGATACAAGAGATTTTCTTTATCAATTCAATAACCAGTTTTTCAACTTTTCACATTCAATTTTCCATTCTACATCTTCAAGCAGTGATTGGGAAGGCCAAAATGGTCAATGGGACTATGGCGCAACTGTCAACATTTTTGATGGGCCATTTCGAAAATGAATGGGCCATCAATATAATCTGAAGGGCCATTTCAAGAAATAACAAAGTGACAAACAAATATGAAATACGAGAGAAAACACATTTTTAATTAACTGAATCCGATTTTAACACATAAAATGCAGCAAATTTAAAGGAACTTGCTTAGAATATAACTGACCCATATTTTGTGTTAAACTTACGACAGTTTTGGAAAGGGAACAGCCCTACCATACAAATGAATGAAGTATCGCTTCGTTTAACCGGAAGTACTTTTTGACAGGTTTCAACCAATGAGATTTGTTGTTTTAAACTGACTGCATTTAAAACGAAAGTAAAATAAGAAAGAAAGTCGTACGCAAAATATTTCCAAATAACATCGCTAGAAATTGAATGCGCACGTTGGCACCATGATTGATTGATTTAATGCGCCATTTTTCATTTCAATGCGACTATGGCGCAAGCCCTTCCCAATCACTGCTTCAAGCTATGATTCAGCTAATGTTTATTTTTTTTAATTGAAAGAAAGAGTTTTGTTTGCAAATGGTGGATGCTAATTACAAAATTTCTAAAATCTTGATTTAAAAACCCAACAGCTATCATGTGGAGGCATATTAGCATGAAATACCACAAACCTGGCATATGAACCAAAAAACATAGTAATCTCTGAAACAGATTCTACATGTTCAAATGTTGAACAAAATGGAGAAAAAAAATACAAGACGGTTATTAAAGAATTTAAACTATCGTCATTGCACTGAATTAAAAATAATCAAACTTAGGCCAAATTACTGGAAATTGAAGAGTGAGGTTCCTGAATCATTGCAGTTTTATTAGTAATTTTACAATGAATTGTGATTTTAGGATGAGAAAGAAGAAAAGCCTCCCGTTACAACTGTATTTGTTGGTAACATCAGTGATCGAGCACCTGATGCTATGATTCGACAGATGCTACAGGTAATTTTTTCACTTTATGA